TGTGTGTGCGTGCACATGTATGCGTGTGTGCGTGTGAGCATTGGCATGTGCGCATCCACCTGTGTGTATGTGCGCACGCGTGTGTGATGAATGCGCGCATGTTCGCACACATATATGTGTGTGTGTGTGTGCGAACAGAGAGTCACATGTGTGTGCGTGTGTGTGCACTCATGCACACTCGCACACATGTGAGTACACGCTTGCAAGCGTGTGTGGGCGTGCGCGCGTGTACACAAGCTCGCACACATGCACGTGCGCGCATGTATGTTCTATCTTGTTATGTTGCCTATCCCATGCTCTCCTTTGGTGCTGCCACGTAGACGTCTGTCGTAGTTCCTGTCAGAAGGGCATGTGGAACTGGCAGTGATTGTCATTCTACCTTTGTTTCAAACAACGTCTCGTTTTCGAGTTACATGATCTCTCACAGGATCCACAAAGTATTTTGTGCAAAAGCAGCTAGGCTCACCTGAACCAGTGAAGAACGAGTACCGGAACAAACAAGCTGGCAAACTGCAACGGAGTTGACACCACCAGCAGATAAATAGGCCAGGCAGAGTACCGACATGGGTGATGATGATCTTGCACGTCCGGTGACTGGTCACAGGTGCATACGGCTGTGGCACTGGCAGTCAGGACTCAAGGACGCGGAGGCCGACTTGTCAGCAAGCAACATCTCGCCTACTGTGCCGGAATCTTCGCTCGACTCGACCTCAGCCAGACCTGGAAATATACTTTTGAAACTAATTTTTACTTTGCTTGCACGCGTTGCAGAATTGCCGGAGTAGGCGCGAGTATTATTGTGCACTATTGCTGGTACACACTCTATGTTGCGCTTTTGTCCAGAAGCGCCATGCTTCGTGACTAGTGGACCTGACGATGGCAATACTATTCTCACTTTCAAAGTCAAAATCGTAATGAAAATGTATGTCACGCTTTGAGAAAGTAAGCTTGCAGCGTCGTCATCTTCTGGACAGGCACATAGTCACTGATTTGCAATTTTGAGTGTGCGCACCTACTTCTCAAACCGAGAAGTCGGCTGAGAACGAAAAACATTTGCGCCTAAATGCTTGACAATTGTGAATTTGATCGTCGAACAAAATGCGTCCTCGCGATGTCAGTGCACAGCTTTGGGATGGCCAAGAACTCGAAAGCCCTTCTCTGATAGACCCATAACCCATTGCTGAAGAGATCTTGTACTCCATCTCGCCCGACCTGGAGCGCCACTTTTTTGAAGGTCGGCTCCCTGACTATAGCAGTGAGTCGGCTGTGAGAGCGCATGGAGGAGAGGAGAGGAAGAGTTCTTTACATTTTATTGGCTGAATAGTACCGTTCACAATTGGAAATTATACGTATCAAATTTAGAAAAGAAAAAGGACATTTTGGAAACGAGTTAAGAGTAACTCTCCACCACTGTAGCTAGATACTATACCAGGTGACTCGACTTGTCCAAGACATAGCGACAAAGAGGAACTGTGGGGAGCACGTGGGAATGGTTTTTCGACTTGGCTAAGGCATTTGACACCGTATGGCATCGTGGCTTACTTGCCAAGTTGGAGGTCACCTTCCGGGTGGAGGATGCTGCCTTGCGTTGGATATCATCGTATCTGTCTGCTCGTTCTCAGGCTGTTCGCTTGTCCTATTTCTTGTCTGATCCCCTCCCTGTAACGTCTGGAGTGCCCCAAGGTTCCATTCTGGGTCCTTTGTTATTCTTGATTTACGTTAATGACCTGCCTTCAGTTGTCCCCGATGTTTGTTTGTATGCGGATGACACTGGCCTTATCTGTTCTGATTCCTCCCCTGCACAATTACTCCTTACCATGCAGCATCGCATCAACAGCACTGTCATGTGGATGCAAACGTGGAAACTCCAGCCCAATTTAGACAAGACAGAAGCCATGTATATTTCTTCATCCCCTCCTGATCAACCATTATACTTCCCTGACTCGACTATGCCTGTCCGTGTTGTTACTCAGCACAAACACCTCGGTGTGATGTTTGACTGCAAACTCTCTCGGGCTGCACATGTCAACTGTGTATGCAAGCGAACCAGTTCAGCATTAGGGGTACTACAACCACATTGCACTCATTTGCCCATCCAGTGTAAACTATTATTTTATCAGTGCTATATTCTCCCTATATTTGACTATTGCGATACCGCTTGGTGTGGCCTTTCTGACGCAACTCTGAACCAATTAGAAGTCCACCATAGATTTATACTTAAAATTCTTTACAACAAGGATCGATGTTTTCCATCGGATGCCCTTTATCGACTTGCACACACTTCTCCTCTCTCCGTTCGTCATAAGCACCATCTCTATACACTGGTTCATAAAATATTTCTTCACACATGATGAAGTACAATTGGTTTTCGACAAGCTCAACCCCTAATGCGCTCATCCTGCCTCTTGTTAAGTCAGCCCAGTATCTAAAGTCCCCTTGTTTTCCGGTTACTCTCATTGGTTAGCATTACCATACGGTCTGAAAACTTGTTCTTCTATTGGTCAGTTTAATTAAAGATCTACTATCGCAACTGAACAAGACGCAATAATTATTATCGAAGAACATTCTCGAATACCTGGGTGATGCACGAATTTTGATTGTGCTCACTTCGGTTAATCGTTTTTCTTTGTAATTTTCCATTCATTTCCTTTTTTTTACTTTAATTGATATTTGCTTTGTTTTCCTAGCTTACTATTGCCGTGGCTGGCTCAACGCCCTTGTCTCAGGGGATTCTGTCTCTGCATTAGCTATGCTTGTCACATGCTATGAGATTGTGTCTAATAATAATAATAATAATAATAGGAGAAAGGGAAAAGGACATATGGAAACGAGTTAAGAGTAACTCTCCACCACTGTAACTAGATACTATATACAGTCAGAAAGTGCAACAACTAGGCACAAAACTGACAGAGTACTGAGACATTCGAGACATGGTGGAGAGTTACTCTTAACTCGTTTCCATATGTCCTTTTCCCTTTCTCCTTTTATTATTGGCTCAATACCCGAGTTTCAAATAATAATAATAATAATAATAATGTTAACTGGTTTGAGGGAAAGAGACAAACGGGAAAAGTCTGAAGAAAAAATTGACTGCCACCACCAGGACTCGAACCAGGGACAATAATAATAATAATAATAATTACTGTAAACGAAGATTCCTGATGAGTGTTGTACGAAAACTTGTTTGAATGCCTTTCTTTCTCTACACAATTTCTTCACATTTTTCATCGTTTTATTGCACATTGTCTCCACAGTTTTACAATACATGAATACAGTGTACACAAATGTCGATCCAACTTGTATTACTGATTGCGGTTATCAAATTGTTGTCTCCTCGCCGTTTGTTCAATTACTGTAAAAACAGAAATTTTCGGTGGTGTTTGTTTCGGTAATTTCGGTGCCGACAATGTTTACCGAAAAAAACGCACCGAAATTGTCGGTACAACCGATACTGTTTACATGTAGTAGTAGTACACCTACCTGGAGAACGGGTTTTACCACTACCGAACCGCCGATTTTGGCGAATACCGAAAATATTACACCACCGAAAATTTCTGCTTTTACAGTATACAGTCCGAAAGTGCAACAACTAGGCACAAAACTGACAGAGAGTTACTCTTAACTCGTTTCCATATGTCCTTTTCTTTCTACATTTATTATTGGCCGAATACCCGAGTTTCGAATTATTATTATTATTATTATTATTTGATAACCGCAATCAGTAATACAAGCTGGATCGGCATTTGTCCTTATTTTCTCCACACCATTTCTTCACATTGTCTCCACAGTTTTACATTACATGAATAAAGTGTACATAAATGCCGATCCAGCTTGTATTATTATTATTGTAAAGGGTTTCCTCTGAGACAAAATACGATAATACCCATAAAAAGGACACACTTCAGGCTCTTTACGAACATCTTTAAAGTTTTTGGTTTCACAAGTATACTTTCAAGCCTTCTCAAGGGAAAAGGAACAGGAACAGTCGATTAAGTACAGTAAGGAGGTTGTAAAACAGCGCAAAGAAGAAGATAGCTAAAGTACACAGCGAAAATGCGTGACCTATACGCATAGCAATAATGGCACAAAGGTGGAAGTGCAAGAAAACTCAATAAGAGTGACATGTAGTGCCACAACAAGAGACAGCCAATGGATATAACTAACGAGGTTTTGACGACCTACCTAACAGCCTAAGTGTGAATTTAATATGCTTCTGCTTGCAAAGGTTGGGTTTCTTTGTATGGATGCATACGGCTTCCAAACCATTCAGCAATCTAGCACTGCGTACACTTGACACAATCGAAAAACAATAATCTGAATACACAGCACGACAATCAGGATGCTCATACAAATGACTAGCAATGGGCGACTCATACTTATCAGAACTAACATCAGGACAATCAGCATGTGCGGTGGACACATCCGATATCAAATGGCTAGTCGAGTAGAAGAATGGCAAGATCGGCAATGACGGCGATGGCAGCGCCTAAAGCACTGAAAGAGGCGACAGTTAGGGTCTTCTCGAGCGTTTGGCCGAGGCAGGGGTCCGGTCTATTTTGGTGGCACCAACTGCTACCCCTACCGCTCCTTTGCTTGCACAGCCACACATCCTTCCTCTTGTCCACATATGAGGCATGGGCAGCAAAAACCAGGGTTAGGTGATATTTGGCGAAAATGAGTTTTGATGGCTTTGAACTGTCCACTAAATGAGTGATCTATGGGCCAAATTTTGGAGCTCTGGGCACCTTCCAAGATGGTAAAAAGAACGCCCGAAATGATGGGTCACGGTCAACAAAAATGGTCAGCAAAAAAGGCAAAATGGAATGCAGTTACAGCTAGCTCTAGTGGAGTGACTGAGAATAATTTAGCATATTTATAGGTCTTCAGGGAAGCACAGAGTACTCTAGTTGATATTACAGTCGACCTACCCTTATAACGATATTCTGCGGTATTTATACGTTTGATATTTTACTGTTCTTCACATTTGTTTTGTTCCACAGCAACAATCAGCTGGGTTCGTGAATCTGTGTATGCAATTGACACGGCAAGGCCAGGTTTGGCATCCCATGACGATGCTAGAAGTGACTGTGCACAAGTAAATGGAAGACTACCTGCAACAATCAATGATGTGCTGATTGCACCCCATGTATTTGAGTGGGGACTAAATTGGGGCGCATTTGGAGAAAATCGAATCTTCACCAGGGCTGGAGGAAGACCTCACGCTGGATCAACAGAGGCAAATCTCGAAAAGGCGAGATTGAAATATTTCTGCATTGTCGGTACGTAGCAATTTGTGTAGCAATTTTGTCAATACCCAAAAATTGTTCGTAGCAATTTTGTGTAGCAATTTGTCAATACCCAAATATAGATATATGTATAGAATATTGACCAAGAAGAGGTCTATATGGGAAATATAAATTTCCCATAAACCACTAGAGGAAACGCAAAAAAGGGTAACAAGATTACATAACCAAAGGCGAGAAGGCACTGAACGAAGTGTCAACCTACGAATACAACTTCAGTGCAACAATGTGCTCTTTCTGCTTACACAAAACAGGTTTTATTGCACTTGTATCTTGATGTTATTTCTAACACCTTTCTATTTACAGCACTTAACTTCAGTTTCTTTGGTTGTATCCTTAGTTCCGTTTTTCCCACTGATGATAGGAACGAGAAAATCGATTCTGGGTTTTCAATAATATTTTTGTTATAAAATACCCAGCAATACATGTCAAACAAGTAACGTAGTTGCGTGATGTCTGCGGCGTTCATCCTATTCATAGCTATAATGAATATTATTATTGCAGAGCTCACTGACTTGTCAGTTTGAGCACTCTGGCAAGGTACGTTCGGGCCTTATTGGAAATTTTTATTTCCATTGCTATCAGGTATCAGGTTTCGTGCTGCGACCCACAGTTAATTGGGAACTCGTGGCCTGGCACGAGGGAAACATGGATGCAGTGAATGGGAGTTCGGTCTTTGACCACTTTGTGGTGGGTCTGATCTACTCACCTCCCACCGCTTAGGAGCTGCATCTGCGCCTTGATCCAAGAGGGTGGTGGCGTTCCTGCGGATGCGGAAAACTGGGCCTTTGGCCGAGTCTCACGCGAACCGTGAAATTTTTTTTAAATTTATCAGGTTCGGCCTCATTTCCTCTGTGCTGCGCTGACGAGTCCACAAAGGACGAAACAGTTCTGGTCGCATATTGAGTATGAATATTATATGAATATACTGAAGTACAATTCATGGTTCCAACTAGGAACGCACGTTTCTTGCCGAACTTGACACTCGACTGACTCACGACTGCAATCCAGAGCACATGAGGACTATTACCACCGAAGTCGCAACTTCTAAGTTCATAACAAAAGCAGGTGCGAATATATGAACACAGAGGCAGCAGGTTTAGGCAGGGTAGGCTTAGGTTGTGCGTAAGTGCTCAATACCTAATTCAGGCAGAGATGCGTACACAAAAAGACAGAAATGAGACCGTTGTGAGGTTTGGGTACGAATGTGTGAAAATAAAGGTTTGTTTTGTTCAGATCTCGACGAAGTGTGGATAACTGGTTTTCCTGCCTAGCTCGGGTGCGTGGCAGTGCTCACCAACATCCTTGATCACTTTTCTATCCATTGTAGTCAATCGACCCTTGCAATGGGGTTCGTCCATTCGTTTTCACCTCCAGTCGACCGTACCTAGCCCGTTTTTGTCATTAACGTACGCATACCCTCCGTCGATGATCTTCGGCTTTCCTCTCTTGATAGATGTCACGTAGTCTAGCTGCTCCTCCGCACGCTGGTCGCAATCATCTCCATTCTCCATTGTTGACTTGCCAGTGACACGCGTTATGATATCCAACTGTCCTCGAAATCGAATAAAGATGCATCCAGGCCCATAGCCCATTCCCAAAGATGCACTGGCGGAGAGCAAATAATACATAAACAGTGAAAGATTAAAGCACTTTTAGGATACATCGTCCGTATAAAGATTCAATAATTCAAAGATGATGCTTCAAAGTATTTGATGAATCGTCTTTGATTCTACTCCTTTAAGCACAAATCGCCAGGTGGAATCAACTGTCTGGCTGTGCAGTCAGACAGGTGTTTAGAGACCCAATGTTAATCAGCAGGTGGCAGATACAGGTGAGCTCAATCAGCTGGAGGTCAGGCATATTCGGTGGTGTTGTGAGAAGTTCAGGATGAACAGGATTTCTCTTGAATGATAGGAGATGATCATTGCACACTGCACAGTGAGTGACAGTTGTGGGACATGGCAAACTGCAATCAGTGGCAGAGCCTGCATTGCTGGTGAGTGCCATGATGTCCTTGCAGCACTGGTTCAGCGTGATGGATCATTCCTCACAATGATGATCTAGTTCATAGGCACTGAAGCTGCTTGTATAGGCATCTGTGCGTAGCGGCGGAGGGTGAGACTTTGGTGAAATGATAAACTGCACATAATCTTGAGAGTTCGTATCTCAACTGCACTGAATTTCACGACACATTGTGACGGCGGCCCCAAGCCAGACCAGTGGGCAGCATTCCATTGCTTGTCAAGGAAGCCTTTGTAGAGCGGCTCACGTTCACGAGCAGAGTGGATCATGACAGCTCTTTTCAGTAAATGTAACCACAGGCATGTGCATATGGCAAGTGTGGGTGGAAAGACAACAGTGTGTTAAACTGGACCAATAAAAGCTTGAGTTTTTTGATACCTAGAGAAATGGCTACCGCAAATATTATAAATCATACCAAAGAGTACGCAAACCCCAGAAGTGTGCAAGGGCCTGCACAACTTATGTGCGGTCCAGAGAACAACGGTATCCCATTGAGATGGCTGTGAGCTGCCGTATATTTTGTAGGCCGACAAGAGATCTACCAGTTTTTGCACTAGACAGACAGGTCATCTACTGCAAGTTGGAAACTGCATGGATTCGTTCATTCACGTCTGTGTTTATTGCATGGCACTCAAACAGTGTGGTGTCCTCTGCGTAGATATCCTCTTTTTTTTAAGCAGATATAATTATCATTCTCAGCAGTGTGTAATAGTCTAATAGTTTACATGCATGTTTTGGGGATGTAATTTCTACTCGTTCTAATGCCATTAATGTTGTATTTCTAATGGGAACTTGGTTTGTACGCCGAGGATCTTTTTTCAAGATTACTTTCTTGCATAAAAATTATTTCCTTCCTTTTCGTGTTGTGTTCTAAAACAATCGTGTTGTGTTCTAATCCTTCCTGATGATACAATGAATTGCATTTTTTGGCAGTAAAAGAGGCGTTATCATCAGGAAAAAACGAAAAAAGCATGGGTGTGTGGAATCACTCCTGTACAGAGTGCAGTGTTGATCAATCCCAACTCACTGTGTGTTAAAGAGTTGGTGGACAAGCAGTTGATTATTCACTCTCATTGTAATATCAAAAAAGCATTCTTTCTAGACCAAAGAGTGGTATATTTGATAAAATTTAATAACTCGGGTATTGAGCCAATAATAAAAGTAGAAAGGAAAAGGACATATGGAAACGAGTTAAGAGTAACTCTCCACCACTGTAACTAGATACTATATACAATCAGAAAGTGCAACAACTAGGCACAAAACTGACAGAGTACTGAGACATTCGACGTCCTGACACCTAGCTTCAACACATCTCCGTAGCGCTAACCGACAGCCTTCTTTGTTCCGTTGGGACTGTAGCTTTTGCTTGTTTTCGTTGCGCTTGCCTTCCCCTCTTTGGTCTTTCCATAACCTTGAACCTTCCAAGTTGGAAGGCTGTCGGTTAGCGCTACGGAGATGTGTTTCCATATGTCCTTTTCCTTTCTAAATTTAATAACGATAGAAATATTTACAATACTTCTCCAGACGTTTCATTGTTCAGAACTACGAAACGTCTGGAGGAGTATCGTAAATATTTCTATCGTTAATTTTTTTATTTTTTGATATCACTGTGTGTTTCTGGACTAACTCCTGTACAGACTGCAGTGTTGACCAATCACAGCTTACTCTCCCAGGGTACGTTTCCATTGACAACAAGACACTGAATGTTGTCTGTCAGACTGGTTACCATGTCCACATTCTGAAGAACGACCTGGCCTGTGGAACAGATGGCTTCTGGAAGAACCTACCATCTTGCGTCCGTAAGTGATAGTACTTGTTTTACATGGAAGGGGATATTTTGTAGGACTTGTTTAACCCACAGACTTGTATAGTAAATTGGCGAAGAACGAGAATGAGTTTGCAACTGTGACAAAGTAATGAAAAGTTCTGCGTGTACTGCAGCTAGCTAGCTTCCCACGGAAGTTGGTTATTACCCGACGTATTTTAGATATTGGCAGTCTTGAGACAAGCCAGGAGATGTTGAATAAATAAATAAAAATATGGTTAGGATGCATGCTCTGAAGCTTCAGTCAATCAGCTTGTGTGGGCAGGCATGTGTTTACCGCCATATTGCCAGGTGTGTCTTCACCACCATATTTATCAACCATGAGTACAGCTGCGGTGGTGTCTTCAATTTCATTCTCCCGAGTCAAGCTCCGTATGAAGACATCCAAGAAGAAGATTGCCTGATGAGTCCAGCGGGGACGAAACGTACGTCACAATCGAGCTATGTCGTTGCTGTGTCATCATCTATGTGCTATGCGCTACTTGATGTACCAGCCTGCTATGCCGGATGCCGCCAGCCATGCATCGACCAGGCGCCAGGCGCGAACTGATGGTGGTGGTGGTGAGAAGGAGAGCTCTGAGCCAGAACTTTGCAGCCTGGAGAGCGTGTGTGGGCAGGCGTGTGTTGACCGCCATATTGCCAGGTGTGTCTTTACCACCATATTTATCAACCTTCTGTATTCTTCTTCAATATAATCCTCCCTTCTCGATTCCCAGTGGTACATCCATGGAGCTATGAAGTCGAGACTTCTGGTCGGCTGAGCTTACTGGGCCCCACCACCACACTCCATTCACCCCAAAGTGTCTGGAGAAAATGTTGATTTTGTGGAAAGAAAAAAACCCCAGAATCACCAGGCAAGCAGGACCCATTGACATCAGTTTGTGAATAACTCCACCTTTGACTTTGCAATTCACTCATATGCTACTTTGTGCTGTTGGAAAAACAATTAAGCTGGCTAAGTCTGTCATGATGACTAAATCTTGGCCTTACCCGCAGGTTGTTGAAAGACGAAGGACCTGGGCATCGGACGGCCACGGCTCACTGCAAGAACATAAAACACTTACCACCCAACTTGGGAGGCTCCTTTTTATCGTAGATAAGAAAAAGAAGGAATTTAGGTGAACACGAAGTGTCACAGACCGAGCAGCAATAATATCGTCTTCATGCGGGGCTTCTCCTCCACAATACCTGGCTTCTCCTCCACAGTACCTGGTTTCTCCTCCACAGTACCTGGCTTCTCCTCCACAGTACCTGGCTTCTCCTCCACAATACCTGGCTTCTCCTCCACAGTACCTGGCTTCTCCTCCACAGTACCTGGCTTCTCCTCCACAGTACCTGGCTTCTCCTCCACAGTACCTGGCTTCTCCTCCACAGTACCTGGCTTCTCCTCCACAGTACCTGGCTTCTCCTCCACGGTACCTGGCTTCTCCTCCACAATACCTGGCTTCTCCTCCACAGTACCTGGCTTCTCCTCCACAGTACCTGGCTTCTCCTCCACAATACCTGGCTGAAAAAATTATTACTTATCATGTACGTGTAGTCAGAAGAGACCAACCCTCGTCCGTATTTGATATATCTAGTCTGTTTTGCCAGTAGTTGCCAAAATACCTAGTTAAAACTCCTTACAAAATACCTAGTTACAAGTCCCGAAAAACATACCTGATTACAAGTAAATATGGCGATCATCATTTTGTTTCTCTAATGATGCATTCCTTTTCACAGGAGAGTTAATTTTTTTTCTAACGCACTAAATGAAGAAAGCTCTCTTATTGGCACGAATCGCCACCGTGAGAATATTGAAAAAGTTTCACATTCCAGAAAAACACCATTCACTATTGATTTGGGTTTTGGATTGATTTTTATAATTGATTTTGGTTTGGGATTGATTTACTTTTATTTCATTTTCATTTAACTTGCCATATTTTGCGTGTGCATTGTTGCCTTCTTGTTCTTTCATTCCATGGCTGGTAGCCCTCATTCATAATATTGATTGACACCATGTCATCCATGAATTGAGAATAATAATAATAATAATAATAAAAATTTGAAACTCGGATGTTGAGCCATAAATATAATGTGGAAAGGAAAAGGACATATGGATACGAGTTAAGGGTAACTCTCCATCACTGTAATTGGATACTATACACAGCCAGAAAGTGCAATAACTAGGCACAAAACTGACAAGAGTACTGAGACATTCGACGTCCTGACACCTAGCTTCAACACATCTCCGTAGCGCTAACCGACAGTCCTCCAACTTGGAAGGTTCAAGGTTGTTCAATTCGTTTTCGCAAAGCTTCCCTTTTCTTTACTTATCTTTGATATTTATGACCCACCGAAGTTGGGTGGAGTGCTGCTTTGCTGCTTCGAATTGTAGTTAGACCGCTTTGTCAAATATCGTACTGGTCTCGTCATCGTCCAGTAACAATCAACATTCTTTGTTTCGTTGGGACTATAGATTTTACTCGTTTTCGTTGCGCTTGCCTTCCCCTCTTAGGTATTTCCATAACCTTTTAACCTTCCAAGTTTGAAGGCTGTCTGTTAGCGCTACGGAGATGTGTTGAAGCTAGGTGTCAGGACGTCGAATGTCTCAGTACTCTTGTCAGTTTTGTGCCTAGTTATTGCACTTTCTGACTGTATATAGTATCCAATTACAGTGATGGAGAGTTACTCTTAACTCGTATCCATATGTCCTTTTCCTTTCCACAATAATAATAATAATAATAATAATTTGTAAGAAAGGTTTGCTCCCCACACCGGAGCTCGCGCTATTCCGCCGACTTTACTTGACACTTGACTGACTCACGACTGCCATCCAGAGCACACGAGAAGTCCATCGAACCTTCGACTCGGCAAACCTGCAAGAAAGCACCACTCCCTGCTCAATACACAGTGTTTCGGGGAATTCACCCCTCATCAGTTGAGCTTGAGTAGGCTGAGGAAGATTGTGCCTGAAGAGCACCACTTATATAGTGCTCTCCAGGCACAAACATCACCAGGGATACAGACTTACAGAGACGCTCCGCTTCCAGCGCGATAAACACCTCGTGAACACCAGATAGCAGCGTGAGTCAGTGTCGCTCCTGGACGGTGAGGGTCCTCGACGTCTGTCTCACCGTCCAGGAGCGACTCTGACTCACGCTGCTATCTGGTGTTCACGAGGTGTTTATAGCGCTGGAAGCGGAGCGTCTCTGTAAGTCTGTATCCCTGGTGATGTTTGTGCCTGGAGAGCACTATATAAGTGGTGCTCTTCAGGCACAATCTTCCTCAGCCTACTCAAGCTCAACTGATGAGGGGTGAATTCCCCGAAACACTGTGTATTGAGCAGGGAGTGGTGCTTTCTTGCAGGTTTGCCGAGTCGAAGGTTCGATGGACTTCTCGTGTGCTCTGGATGGCAGTCGTGAGTCAGTCAAGTGTCAAGTGAAGTCGGCGGAATAGCGCGAGCTCCGGTGTGGGGAGGAAACCTTTCTTGCAAATCATCGCCGAAGTCGCAACCACTACTTCGTACTGTTGTGCCCAGCGCGGGCTTGCGACTAGTTGGTTTGGAGGTGACAGCGTTGCGAATGACCGAGGGTCCTCGACGTCTGTCTCACCGTCCAGGAGCGACACTGACTCACGCTGCTATCTGGTGTTCACGAGGTGTTTATCGCGCTGGAAGCGGAGCGTCTCTGTAAGTCTGTATCCCTGGTGATATTTGTGCCTGGAGAGCACTATATAAGTGGTGCTCTTCAGGCACAATCTTCCTCAGCCTACTCAAGCTCAACTGATGAGGGGTGAATTCCCCGAAACACTGTGTATTGAGCAGGGAGTGGTGCATTCTTGCAGGTTTGCCGAGTCGAAGGTTCGATGGACTTCTCGTGTGCTCTGGATGGCAGTCGTGAGTCAGTCAAGTGTCAAGTAAAGTCGGCGGAATAGCGCGAGCTCTGGTGTGGGGAGCAAACCTTTCTTACAAATCATCGCCGAAGTCGCAACCACTACTTCGTAATAATAATAATAATAATAATAATCTTCACTAGTTTGAGGGAAAGAGACAAACGGGAAAAGTCTGAAGAAAAAATTGACTGTCACCACCAGGACTCGAACCAGGGACCCTCGCTTGTAGCTAGCGATGCTCTAACCACTGAGCTATGGTGTAGTCGTCATCCCAGCAGAGACTGTTCAACATTTTCTTCAGACTTCGTAACTCACACTTCCTGTGAATCCACACAGGCGGGTGGGACGCAGCCCTCACTGTACCCACACACTTCACGTACACTCTAGCACGCGGGGAGCCCCAAGTCATAAAATCTTCACTAGTTTGAGGGAAAGAGACAAACGGGAAAAGTCTGAAGAAAAAATTGACTGTCACCACCAGGACTCGAACCAGGGACCCTCGCTTGTAGCTAGCGATGCTCTAACCACTGAGCTATGGTGTAGTCGTCATCCCAGCAGAGACTGTTCAACATTTTCTTCAGACTTCGTAACTCACACTTCCTGTGAATCCACACAGGCGGGTGGGACGCAGCCCTCACTGTACCCACACACTTCACGTACACTCTAGCACGCGGGGAGCCCCAAGTCATAAAATCTTCACTAGTTTGAGGGAAAGAGACAAACGGGAAAAGTCTGAAGAAAAAATTGACTGTCACCACCAGGACTCGAACCAGGGACCCTCGCTTGTAGCTAGCGATGCTCTAACCACTGAGCTATGGTGTAGTCGTCATCCCAGCAGAGACTGTTCAACATTTTCTTCAGACTTCGTAACTCACACTTCCTGTGAATCCACACAGGCGGGTGGGACGCAGCCCTCACTGTACCCACACACTTCACGTACACTCTAGCACGCGGGGAGCCCCAAGTCATAAAATCTTCACTAGTTTGAGGGAAAGAGACAAAATAATAATAATAATAGTAGAAAGGAAAAGGACATAATTATGGAAACGAGTTAAGAGTAACTCTCCACCACTGTAACTAGATACTATATACAGTCAGAAAGTGCAACAACTAGGCACAAAACTGACAGAGTACTGAGACATTCGACGTCCTGACACCTAGCTTCAACACATCTCCGTAGCGCTAACCGACAGTCCTCCAACTTGGAAGGTTCAAGGTTGTTCAATTCGTGTTCGCAAAGCTTCCCTTTTCTTTACTTATCTTTGATATTTATGACCCACCGAAGTTGGGTGGAGTGCTGCTTTGCTGCTTCGAATTGTAGTTAGACCGCTTTGTCAAATATCGTACTGGTCTCGTCATCGTCCAGTAACAATCAACATTCTTTGTTTCGTTGGGACTATAGTTTTTACTCGTTTTCGTTGCGCTTGCCTTCCCCTCTTTGGTATTTCCATAACCTTTTAACCTTCCAAGTTTGAAGGCTGTCTGCTAGCGCTACGGAGATGTGTTGAAGCTAGGTGTCAGGACGTCGAATGTCTCAGTACTCTTGTCAGTTTTGTGCCTAGTTATTGCACTTTCTGACTGTATATAGTATCCAATTACAGTGATGGAGAGTTACTCTTAACTCGTATCCATATGTCCTTTTCCTTTCCACAATAATAATAATAATAATAATAATAGTAGAAAGGAAAAGGACATAATTATGGAAACGAGTTAAGAGTAACTCTCCACCACTGTAACTAGATACTATATACAGTCAGAAAGTGCAACAACTAGGCACAAAACTGACAGAGTACTGAGACATTCGACGTCCTGACACCTAGCTTCAACACATCTCCGTAGCGCTAACCGACAGCCTTCCAATTCGGAAGGTTCAAGGTTGTTCAATTCGTTTTCGCAAAGCTTCCCTTTTCTTTACTTATCTTTGATATTTATGACCCACCGAAGTTGGGTGGAGTGCTGCTTTGCTGCTTCGAATTGTAGTTAGACCGCTTTGTCAAATATCGTACTGGTCTCGTCATCGTCCAGTAACAATCAACATTCTTTGTTTCGTTGGGACTATAGTTTTTACTCGTTTTCGTTGCGCTTGCCATCCCCTCTTTGGTATTTCCATAACCTTTTAACCTTCCAAGTTTGAAGGCTGTCTGTTAGCGCTACGGAGATGTGTTGAAGCTAGGTGTCAGGACGTCGAATGTCTCAGTACTCTTGTCAGTTTTGTGCCTAGTTATTGCACTTTCTGACTGTATATAGTATCCAATTACAGTGATGGAGAGTTACTCTTAACTCGTATCCATATGTCCTTTTCCTTTCCACAATAATAATAATAATAATAATAATAGTAGAAAGGAAAAGGACATAATTATGGAAACGAGTTAAGAGTAACTCTCCACCACTGTAACTAGATACTATATACAGTCAGAAAGTGCAACAACTAGGCACAAAACTGACAGAGTACTGAGACATTCGACGTCCTGACACCTAGCTTCAACACATCTCCGTAGCGCTAACCGACAGCCTTCCAATTCGGAAGGTTCAAGGTTGTTCAATTCGTTTTCGCAAAGCTTCCCTTTTCTTTACTTATCTTTGATATTTATGACCCACCGAAGTTGGGTGGAGTGCTGCTTTGCTGCTTCGAATTGTAGTTAGACCGCTTTGTCAAATATCGTACTGGTCTCGTCATCGTCCAGTAACAATCAACATTCTTTGTTTCGTTGGGACTATAGTTTTTACTCGTTTTCGTTGCGCTTGCCATCCCCTCTTTGGTATTTCCATAACCTTTTAACCTTCCAAGTTTGAAGGCTGTCTGTTAGCGCTACGGAGATGTGTTGAAGCTAGGTGTCAGGACGTCGAATGTCTCAGTACTCTTGTCAGTTTTGTGCCTAGTTATTGCACTTTCTGACTGTATATAGTATCCAATTACAGTGATGGAGAGTTACTCTTAACTCGTATCCATATGTCCTTTTCCTTTCCACAATAATAATAATAATAATAATAATAACTAGATATGTGCACTTCGAAATGTGTAGAGCACGAGATCTACCTACTGGTGCTTCACGCTTCGACCACCAGCTTAAAGCATTGGTCAAAAGTGATCGGTATCGCCTCTATTGGGAGTATTCGGTCCCAACTGACCTGAAACTATCAGCAAACAGGCCCGATCTGCTCCTTGTTGATGACAAGGAACGCGTCGCCTACATTATAGACATCAGCGTTCCTGGTGAGAACAACATCAATAAGAAAATGGCTGAAAAGCGCTCGAAATATTATGACTTGAAGCGGGAGATTTCCAGGATTTGGTCCCTCACCCAGGTTGACGTGGTCCCTGTGGTTGTCGGTGCCCTGGGAGGCTTGGTGGGAGAGACTCCTCAATGCCTTCGGACTGTGCAGGGAGGAGATCTGGCTATTGTACAACAGGAGGCTATCCAAGGTTCGATTAAAATACTGAGAACTATCCTTAACATGTCGATGCACCTCTGCTGCGTTTGCGTGTTCAATAGCTAAGAGATTTGAATAACGACTGATAAAGACTGCTATTTCCTTTGTTACTCCCTTCATTGGTTGATGTACTTTGCCCGGCTGTCGCTGCAAATTCTTTATTATTGTTTTGATGTTGGAGTTCGGATTGAGTTTCTTTTCTTTCCTTTCTTCCTCTTCCATCCCCTATTTCTTGTACCTTTGGTTTAGCTTTTTATTTTTTCACTTTATTTTTGCTGTCCCACCTATGGAAATATTTCCTGGTGGGTCTGGCTTATCGCCTTCGAAAGAAGTGAATAAAGGAGACATAATAGTAGAAAGGAAAAGGACATAATTATGGAAACGAGTTAAGAGTAACTCTCCACCACTGTAACTAGATACTATATACAGTCAGAAAGTGCAACAACTAGGCACAAAACTGACAGAGTACTGAGACATTCGACGTCCTGACACCTAGCTTCAACACATCTCCGTAGCGCTAACCGACAGCCTTCCAACTTGGAAGGCTGTCGGTTAGCGCTACGGAGATGTGTTGAAGCTAGTACTCTGTCAGTTTTGTGCCTAGTTGTTGCACTTTCTGACTGTATATAGTATCTAGTTACAGTGGTGGAGAGTTACTCTTAACTCGTTTCCATATGTCCTTTTCCTTTCTAATAATAATATTAACTGGTTTTGAGGGAAAGAGTATAATAATAATAATAATAATAACCAACTTTTTGTATCCTTACTTGGTTGGCATTTCGTCAGAAGGATTTGACTGGCAAGGCTAGATCAATTAATAACACAAGAAAAAACACTATTAAAATATGCCATAAGATGAAACAATACAGATATCAGTACTAGTCAAATTCGTCTGACGAGATGACAACAAAGGATGCCTAGCCTTTTGGGAATGGTGTGTATGTTGAATGCGCAACTTGCTTTGTTTATCATCATTCATTTCATAATTCCTAGGCGTGATGCTATGCAGTGCAGTCATGCACTGTTCAAGACGTTTATCCTACATTAGCCATTTGCTGCTGATCATTGTTGTGGAGACGCAGTGGTTCACTCACACTTTACTACCCAACCACTTGCTCACAACATATCTGATATTTGTCTTTACGAAAGTGTTCGTTTTTTGCTTTTTTGAATGTTCCATTTACCAGGAAACAACGTGTAGGAGGCATCGGACTGGTTTTTCCGCAAAGTCAATGAGGAATCCCAATGTGGATCTGTGTTCATTCCGTGGGAGAGTGTTCCCGAACTGTCTGAGTGTGCTTTGTGGAAAGATAAATATGCTATTGTCCATCGTTTCTTTATCCGATATTTACAGTCTGATCGCATCCTATCTCATGTTTCTCTATCTAATGCATGTCCTGTTTTTTCTTTCTTTCCTGGTTGCTGATGACGGGGTGCAATGCTTCTGCAGCTAACTGTCACCTTCACCAGGCGTGTATGCAGAGTTCGACTATCCAAACTCAATTTCAATTCATTTACAACTTTCCTTGTTGTCAAGGTGGAAGCAGGCGCGCGTGTGAGAGTGTGCCACACAAACAGGGCAGAATAATAGGGGCAGTGATGCAAGTGTTGAAGTCTCACAGCACGCACGCAGGAACAACAGAAGACAAGTTTGTAGATCGCACACGAGACCTGAGCTGATGAGAATGAGAAAGGATGAGGCACGAGGTTATGAAGGACCTGGGTAACTATGGCAGTGAAATTACGAGAGCGCGAATGCAGCTGCCCTGCAGGCCAAACGAATTATACGGGAATGCGGAAAAACCTTGCTGTAGTGTTGTTCTCTTCCATTCCATGTGGGCATGTGCACTTTCATAAAAATAAAAATAAATCACTGGTGTAAGTGAAAAGAGGCAAACGAGAAAAGCCTGAAGAAAGATTTGACTATCACCACCAGGACTCGAACCAGGGACTCTCGCTTTTAATAATAATAATATTTTAAAAAAACCTTAGAAGTTGCGACTTCGGCGGTAATAGTCATGAAGTTGATGAGGGGTGAATTCCCCGAACCACTGTGTATTGAGCAGGGAGTGATACTTTCTTGCAGGTTTTCCGAGTGGAAGGTGCGACGTGCTCCTGGTGTGCTCTGGATGGCAGTCGTTAGTCAATCAAGTGTCAAGTTCTGCAAGAAGCGTGTGTTCCTAGTTGGAACAATCAACTTAATAAAAACACCGACCACTATTAACCCTTCGGAGTCAATAGCTTTTTGCTTTCTCCGAATTTGTGGCAGTTACGAAAATGCGCACTCAATAGGCATGAGCGGGTAATACTAGCATTATGGTTGGCATTCTAGTCCCTTTTTTTCCTGGTGGCATACTGCTGGCATTATAACACCATTTCGCATGCAAAATTGGCATTACAAGCATAATTGCCGGTCGACAACGGTGTCATGCATGAAGCTGGCTAGGTACAGTTCCGAAAATCGTGCATTTGAACCCGCCCGGCTTCGTCCGGAGATTTGATGTTGCAAATCAACCTTCTCAGTGGATTGTTACAGACAACATGCTCACTGCAGTTTAAGGTGGCAGCCTGGTCATAAAATGCCTGAAAAATCGAATTTGGAAATTCATATCCAGTGCTACATCAGTTGAAAGAACATGAACAACTGCAAAATCTCTGAAAATTGTTTCTTGATCTGACCAGCTGTTCAAGAGTTATGGCCGAAAATGTGCCCTTGCAAGGAAAGATTGTTTTGTTGCACGCTGTCATTTGTTGGCAGCACTGTATTTGAATGTGAGCAGACCGTGCGCAACTTGTCGTATCATGGAAACACGCCAAAGTGTGCAGAATGTTGCTCCAAGTCCAAAAAAAGTCCAAAAAATCACGTTAAAAACCACGTATTGGGCTGCACGGCAGCGGGCGAAGCCTTCCGCCATGCAGCAGGACTTTTGCCAGCACCCTCGTGACGTTGCAAATATGTGGCTTGATTATTGTAGTTGACGTTGATTTAGTGACTTTGGCAAGTTTGAGTCGTGTCAAGAAGTCAGGTAGAATTCAGTACTAGGCAGTAGTGGAACGTGAGTGGTAGTCTTTGCCGGTTTCTGAGGGTATCCTGGATTTGGTGTGCAGCGCTGTGGAAATAGCTTGCTGTGAAGGTCCCAGCACTGGATGTTGTATCAAAGGTACGACGTGGAGACAACAATTTTATAATAGCAATAAAGAGAACAAATTCTGCAGTCATCGCCACACTACAACGAAGTCATGAAAGTTTACCAGAATTAATTTTCTTGTCACATTCATCAGTGGAGAGTCGGGACTGAAGAGTAACCATGAATGTGACAAGAAAATTAATTCTAAAGAGTCGGCGTGGAGAAAGCATTTTTATTAGTGCAATCAAGAGTATAATAGATGCAGACATGGCCAGACAACAACGATTTCACGGAATTTTAAGGATTTTTATGTTATTCAAAATCGATTTTCGGTTTCCGCTCATCAGTGAATAGTATCGGAACTGAGGGTACTGTGTACAAAAAATAGAACATTTCATAACAGCATGATTAAAAGTGTGAACAAAAAAGGAAGTGCTACAGCATTACATAATAGGTGTCAAACATAGTGCTAACATATATAACTGAGTGCAGGCACAAAGCATGAGGTGATACAGTGCAACATGACACAACATTTACATCTGATAACCAGCTACGAGAACAACTTTAGCGCGACTACATGCTTCTTTTGTTTACAAAGAACAGGATTATGCACACGAATACATACAGCTTCCAGAACCTTCAACTGCTTAAAATAACTTGCACGGCACAAAACAGAAAAGTGAGAATCATCGTACACACTAAGACAATCTGGACGTGATAACAAGTGACAAAATATAGCTGACTTTTTGCTCACGTCGCTCTCTTCCGTCTCATCCTGCTCCTTTCCATCAACCTCCTCCGCCTTATCCTCGTCCTCCGTCTGATCTTCATCATCATCGTCCTCATCACCACCATCATCATCATCATCAGTCACTTCCTCATCATCCGTTTGATGCTCAGTCTCACTGCACTCCTTATCAGCCTCCAACATGGCTCCATCATCTCCACCAGCATCACAAGTCGTTTGACCGCTGCTCCGCGTCACCGTTGCTGGGTTCAATGCTACTGCTCACCCATTTCCTCTGTCCATTTTGCGTGGGCAAAGTCCATTCCGTGCATAAATTTCAAGTGAATATATAGCTGTGCTTCTTCTGGGTCTATGGGTAAGGATATTGGTTTCATTTTGGTTTGTCGATGATCTCCCTCTCTGTCCAGACACAGTCGGCACCGTGGATCCCAGCACCGGGGGGGGGGGGGGGGGACCACCGTCTCGGTAGTCACCAAAGGTAAAGGGGATGGCTCAGGCAGAGGTAAGGGCAACTGCCGAGGTGAGGGTTCAGTGTCTCCCGGTGGCCCCTCCTCCATTCCAGGACGATGATGTTGTGCTAGAGTAGGCTCCGCTGCCGTTCGCAGTGGGTCGAGAAGTGGTGGCTAGGTCACTGATGGCAAACCCACCCCAGTTCCAGCCACCCACAGCACCCCAGGTGGTGGGGCCGGTGGTGGCACGGGAACAGGCGGCGCTGTCGGCACAGCGTGTTTGTCTACTGAGCTAACTGGGTTCTTACACGGCCTACCACGCTTTGGCCGCTTTGCTCTGGCTGCTGGTGGTAATAAGTGCAACGGCACATGTTGTCTGATACGTGCGTTCAGGTGTTGAAGAGTCTGAGGAAGTGACTCATGATGATGATGGTGGTGATGAGGACTATGATGATGAAGATGAGACGTAGGACGAGGATAAGGCGGAGGAGGTTGAAGGAAAGGAGCGGGATGAGACGGAAGAGAGCGACGTGTGCAAAAAGTCAGCTGTATTTTGTCACTTGTTATCACGTCCAGATTGTCTTAGTGTGTACGATGATTCTCACTTTTCTGTTTTGTGCCGTGCAAGTTATGTTAAGCAGTTGAAGGTTCTGGAAGCTGTATGTATTCGTGTGCATAATCCTGTTCTTTGTGAACAAAAGAAGCATGTAATGATAATTGCAGGGGACTTCAACGTGCATAATTCAGCCTGGCTACAGAGTAGCAAGACTACCCGAGCCGGTGAATGCCTGGAGGAAGTCTGCGCAGCACATCATCTTGTCCTGCATGTCACCCAGCCAACCCGCGGCAACAATACTCTCGATCTTATCATCTCCGATTTCCCACACCCCGTATGCACCACAGCCTATGCACCACTTGGACGATCTGATCATGCGATTATCATTGCCCAGTTTCTCCAACAGCATCCACGACGCGAAAATCCTGCTGTTCGACAGGTTTGGAAATACGCCCTTGCTGACTGGCACCGCCTGAGAGCCTACCTCCGCAACATAGACTGGCCCGCCAAGATCCATGGGTGTGCGGAGCAGTCCTGTCAGCGCGTAACTGATGTCATCATGCATGGAATGAAACAGTTCATACCATCCAAAGAGCTTGTGGTGCACCAATCCAACCCTGTATGGTGGACACCGGACTGTTCTAACGCCAATCATGCCAAGGAGCGGGCATGGAAGCTGTGGCGATGCAATCCCCGCAACGATAACCACAAGGTCCAGTACATCACAACTGTTAACCACGAAGTGGCAGCGTGTCATGCAGCGCGATTAGCACATCAACGTAGAATTCGCAACAAGCTTACTGCAGGTTCCCTCCGGGACAAAGAGTGGTGGTCAACCATCAAGAGCGCAGCAGGCAAGGGACGTTGCTCTGACATCCCCCTGCTGACCAACCCTGCAGGACAAGAGTTCCACTCTTCTCGTGAGAAAGCCGAGTGCTTTGCAGCGTATTTTGCGAACAAGTGTAGCCTTGGCAATAACGACCTCTGTGCTGCTGACCTGCCTGACCTGCAACGACCTGCCTATGCCACGCTAAAGCACATTCACTTCCGCGCAGCAACGGTCAAACGGCACTTGGCGAACTTGGCTGTATCAAAAGCAACTGGACCGGATGGCATCTCTGCTCGTGTGCTCAAGATGTGCTCATCTGAACTTGCAGACCCACTGGCAAAGCTTTTCGCCCTCTGCTTCTTAGCCGGTGTGCAACCTGGGGCATGGAAACTTGCCCATGTAGTCCCAGTTCACAAACGGTTCTCCAGATCTTTGGCATCTAACTACCGACCAATATCACTGCTAACGATCATGTCGAAAGTCATGGAGGGCATTGTAAACACGCAACTGGTTAACTACCTAGAGAAGCATGAGGTGTTGCCAAACAGCCAGTTTGGATTCCGACGTGGTAGAGGAACCGCAGATATCTTAACAGCTCTCCAACATGAATGGGTCCACACCATAAGTACTGGCGGTTGTGTCCAGGTCCTCGCCGTGGATATTGCCGGTGCGTTTGACCGGGTATCGCACACAGGAGTGCTGTACAAAGCAAAGCAGGCCAGCGTCGACGGACGCCTGCTTGTTTGGCTACAGGACTACCTCACCAACCGAAAC